AATATCGTTGTCTGGAGTTTTCTCCTCTGCCAGAGACCTGGATGCTGTAGGAAATCTAAAAAGTGAAACACAGGAGCATTTGAACTTGCCAGGTGATTTCATTCAGTATATCGGTGCTACTCCTGGCTAGAGGCCACCAGCCAGTCCTGAGATTGCAGCTCTCACACTGCAATTTTATTTTTATTTTATTTTATTTTATTTTTTAAAGATTTTGTTTACGTGAGAGAGAGCAAGAGTGAAAGAGAGCACAGCTGGGGCACCTGGGTGGCTCAGTTGGTTAAGCGACTGCCTTCGGCTCAGGTCATGATCCTGGAGTCCCAGGATCGAGTCCCGCATCGGGCTCCCTGTTCAGCAGGGGGTCTGCTTCTCCCTCTGACCCTCCCCCCTCTCATGCTCTCTCTCTCTCATTCTCTCTCTCAAATAAATAAATAAAATCTTAAAAAAAAGAGAGAGAGCACAGGGGGAGAGGGAGAAGCAGACTCCCTGCTGAGCAGAGAGCCCCACGCGGGGCTCGATCCCAGGACTCAGAGATTATGACCTGAACGGAAGGTAGACGCTTAAATGACTGAGCCACCCAGGCGCCCCTCAAACTACAATTTTAAAAGTCCCACTTTATTGCCTATTTTCCCAGGATCAGGACTCCCACAAGTGTTATCCCCAAGCCACTGTTGCCCCACCCCCACCCCTATATCCTAGCAGGGGGCAGGGGTGTGGGAGGTGTCTGGGGCAAGCAAGAAACTGTACTCAGAACACAAGCAAGGCCAATGTTCCTTGCCAGGTTTTATGGAAGTCAATTAGAAAATCACATGGTCTGTCAATGAATATTTATCACTTAGACATAAGCTTTGTGGTAGTTACTACAATGCTTAGAAAGTAAAATGGATCCTGACATGAAAATGAAATGTGTTATATAGCAGTTTACTTTATTTTTAAGATTTTATTTGTAAGTAATCTCAATACCCAATGTGATATAGAGTCACCCCAAGATCAAGAATCACCTGCTCCACTGACTGAGCCAGCCAGGCTCCCCTACAGCAGTTTACTTCATAACTGTGCAGAAACATGTCTATTTTACAATTAAATAAGTAAGGAGTGCCTGGACTGATTTTTATTCAATGAAAAGTGGACAGTCTTTCCCCAACATGGTTGTTTTTAAACCACTAATGCATTTTATAAGTACTTGCTATAAAGAGGTTAACAAAATAAGATGTATGCAATATCAGGAATTGAAGGCAATCAGTCTAGACTTCCAACTGTTTAAGGAAGCACAACCAAACCAAACCTACTCTCTGCCTTAAAAAAACTATTACATGCTATAATTTAAACAACAGAATGTCTTTTAAGAGTGTTGATTATCAAAGATCCACCCAGAATGTGTCTTTGAGAATAAGATTAATGTACTTGATTTTTCCACTCTCAGTGCTTAGTCCTGGCAATGTCCGTAATTAGCTGTGGAACCCTGGAAAGTCACATCCATCCTGAACCTCACTTGTGAAATGGGGATAATATTGGTTATTTCAGAAGGATATTGTGACAATAAAATGAGAACGCATATATAAAAGTATTTGATATTAACTCCTAATAAAATAAAAATTTCTAACATAGCTTCTAGTTTTCAATTTTTATACTCAAGGTAAATAATTATTAAGGAGTTTAGTTAAAGGGAATCCTTTTAAGAGACACATACTGAAGTAGTTTAGCATGAAGCAATGTAACAACTGAGATTTGCTTCCAACTAATCCAGTGGGAACAGTGGCTTGGTGTAGAGATTTTGGCCACATTTTGAGTCTCATTGAAGCCACGTGATAGGTACATGGGAGTTTGTTAAAAACCATTGTTTGCTTTTTATTCTTTTTAAATTTTATTTATTTATTTATTTATTAAAGATTTTATTTATTTATTTGACAGAGAGAGACACAGCTAGAGAGGGAACACAAGCAGGGGGAGTGGGAGAGGGAGAAGCAGGCTCCCAGCTAAGCAGGGAGCCCAATGCGGGGCTCAATTCCAGGACCCTGCGATCATGACCTGAGCCGAAGGCAGACGCTTAACGACTGAGCCACCCAGGCGCCCCAGTTGTTTCCCACTCTCTTATTTCTCGTGTACCAATATCCCTAGGATCTAGAACTCAGGCCAGTATTTCAAGATTATTAGTATTGATTGGTATTATCAATTTTCCCTTATAGTCCCCCATTTCAAACATGCAGTCCCGTTTTCCTCATAAATCATCTAAATGTCAAGAAAATTTCAATTCTTTGACATCTAAATTATATCACCCATGCTTCCTTTTACAAGCAGTAGCAGAAATAAAAAAACCTTTGTCATTTGGTTCAGAAGATATGGTTGTTGAAGTCATTTGGTTTTATCACAGGGATTTTTGTGGATTGGCCTAAATCCTTAGCCACCACTTATAACTCATTCAAAGATCAAAGCAATCAACTTTAAAGTGGACTTAAGTTGGAAAACAACTTATTTTTAGGTTGGATTCAACCTCAACTCATGAATCATCACTTTCAACTGAGTTTATATAGGCACAGTTTTGTTTTAAACTCAATTTTAACAAATATTTCCAATAGCTAATCTTCTGGTAATTCCTATTTCTTTAACTTAGGGGAAAAAAATCCATAGATGTTTCCTCAGATTTTTAAAGGTCTCAGAGGAAAAAAAAAAAACTTCCTAGACAAGTGGACAAAGAATACAAACAGGCAAATTACAGAAAGGATATAAATGGTAATTAAACATGACAGGATGCTCAACTTACTAGTTATCAGGAAAATGCTAATTAAATATGACACTATTTTCACCATCTGACTGGAAAAGATGAAAAAGAATAATAATATCTAATTAGTGATGGCAAAGTTGCAAGAAAACCATATCCTGTCGGATGGAATATAATTAATACAGCAGTTTTTTGGAGGGCAGTTTGTGAGGACATTGAAGTAATTGGCATTTTATGTAAATTTTGGATTACTCAAAATTAAAATACGGTGACATCAAAATATTAATGAAGTCTCATTTTATGAAGAAACGTTGAAATAATGTAAATTGCCCGATGTAAAATTCTTTCAAAATAGCATAATCATAAAGGTCAAATAAATTATAGATGGCATTTGCACTGCATCCGTCCCATGGCAAAGCTACTCAAGCTAGCTAACAGAAATACCATCGCTGGTCAAGTGAGCCTTGAACTACAGATTCAATAATAAAGTAAGATACTTAAAATACTCTATCAAAAATTTATAATGTACATTTCTTTGGTCCTAGTAATTCCATGACTAGGAATCTATGTTAGCAATATTCCCACATAAGTGTGCAAAGATAAATATGCCCCAGAATGTGCCCAAAGCCTTCTGAAAATGCCCATCAATGGAGGATTGTATATTTCTACCATGAAACACCACACAGTCTTAGAAAAGGACAAGGTACTTCTTTAGGTATGCTAACAGAAAAAAATGTTCACAATATAGTAAGTGCAAAAAAAATTAAAGAATTAAAGATTCTATTTTTGTAAACAAACATGCACAGTCCCAAACAGAAAGAATTCAAATGCAAAGGAAGCTATTTATAGTGGTTATCTCTGGGGTGTAGAGGTTGGAGGAAGAGAGAGGGAATTTTCACTTTAAAAATTTTAAAAACTATACTAGCTAGTTTGTAGGTGTTAGGCAAATTCTAAGCACTTCATTCAATTACTCTTCCTAAGGACCCTATAAGCTAAATGCTGTTATTATTCCCATTATCAACAGTTGAGGAAACATATCCAAAGAGACAAAATTAGGGCCTCCTGGTTGGCTCAGTCGGTGGAGCATGCGGCTCTTGATCTC